GAACTACCTCGATATCAAAATAATTGTCATATAAAACTGTATCAAATGTATCAAAACTAAACTGTATCAAATGATAACTGTATCAAATGATAACTGTATCAAATGATTAAACTGTATAAAATGTATCAACTGTATCAAAACTGTATCAAATGATTAAACTAAACTGTATCAAATGATTGTTTCCTTTTAAAAACAATGTTTTTTTTCTGCTCTGTCACTAATTTAAAGGCATAAGTTAAGATACATTTATACAAGTATAATAAATATTTGTTTAACATTTAAAAAAAAAATTGTATGTTACAAATAATTTAATTTTTAAAATTATTTATTACTTCATGGGCCACATTAATAAATTCTCAAGCACAAGTAATGAATTTCAGAAATATATTTTGGGACTGAAGCACTGTCTTTTTTGTGTGAAGGAGCTTATAATTATTTCCCTCATCAACTTGCCTAGTGTATTCTATGACCTGCTGTAAAGTCAAAAACCATCATTTAATGTTTAGATATTGAACATATTGAATAATGTATAAATAACTCAAATAAGCTCGTCTATGTTGATAGGTGCAACTTGATGTTGCACTGCTTGTATCGTATTAAAGAATTCTAAATCTAAAATGTTAGAAGTCAGGGCTCTTGGCAAACTGTCAACACAAATGGATGTCCTATGTGTCTTTAGATCTCTCAATGACTACTATGGCATCAGCAGCAGCACAATGTGTTTTGGGTTATTATTCATGTTTTTTTTTTTTTTTTTTTTTTTTTTTTTTTACCAATAGTTACTATAATACCATGATTGGGTCTTCCATTTTTTAAGTTTCTCAATTGCTCCTACAGAATCGCAGTTCTCTCTTCAGAGCTTGTATTGGGTTTCCTCATAACTCTAAAAAAATTAATATAAATTGACATACTGTATCAAAGTTCTATTTTACAGCAGTAGAAAGTAACAAATTCAAAACTATTCTTCCAGCTTTTATTCCTGTAATCGCATGCAAATTTATAAATTAGACAATCATTTTAATATGGAAGGAGTAATAATTTTAATCATAGTTTTATATATTCAGAAAAATAACATAAGTAATTATTTATAGCTTTTAAGTAAGTTAAAAAATATGTTCTTGATAAGTAGCAATAAAATTCAATTAGTATAAAAAGTATTGTGCTAATGCTCAAATATTTTATACAGTTTAATTTTTCTTGCTTTTAGTGAAGCAAAATCATCAGAATTTTTTTAAATTTATCTGATTATTTAATTAATGTTTTATAGAAACAATAACTATGGTTGAAAGTTTTTTTCAAAAATCTTACATAACTTTTTAAGTATATCGAAGTTTCTCTTTACCATTAGCAGCAAAAACTAACAATATTAAAATAATTCTCAATGCAACTTCCTACTTCATGACTGAACCAAGTTTTTTTCATGAATTATCTTTGAAGGACCTAAACTTGTAGCTCTTTTTTAACATCTAGAAATAGCGTTTTTTAAAATTAATTACTTTCATGAAATTTGTGCAGCATTTATATCATTTGGCTATTAAAGGCTAAATTACTTCTTGTTTCTTTTAAATTACTAAGATAATAGTATTAGTTTTTCACCAATTAGAAAGTAAAAACTGAAAAATATCTAGTTTAATTTTTCACATCTCCATTTAAAAGCATTTCTCAATATTATTTTTTTAGAACAAATGTAATAATTCATTCTCAAAAACACTTTTAATGAAGTTTTACTTTTTATAGTTAATTTGGCACCCTTTTTAGTTGGGCAAGTGCAAGGGATGAGGCAAGTGAAGCAGTCATCTTAATCTTGGGTGTAAGCTGAGCATAAAGTCATTTTGCCCCAATAGATGGTGAAAGCCTTACATTCTTTTAACCTTAGTAACGATTATTCATGAGGTTGTTCCAAAGGCTTTAAGCTCAAACACTATATTAAGCACAAAATAAATAGAACAGATTTTTCTGATAATATGAGTTAAATCTGAGAAAATAAATTATATTCAAGATATAAAGTGCATCAATGAAGATATACAAACTGCCCCATCAACACCACTCAAACTCTGCACAGCCAGATTCCTCCCTTAAAATACATAAAAATGCCTAAAGAACTGTCAATCATTAGCTTTTGAGAAAAGTGTGAAAGAAAAGTATGATGTTATATCCAGTGCAAGAAAAAAAAAAAATATTAGAAACCTGAACATTGATATTTTTATATGTTTAACATAGGAAGACATTCAAAACCTCCACTGCTCATATAGAGGCATGTATGCATGTACTGTGGAATGATGTCAAGCCATCATTTGGAGTGCATTTAACAGGTTACATCTAGTACCTACTGGTAAGCTTCACATAGTGAATACTACAACATGTACTCTATCTTCATGAATACTGCAACATGTACTCTAGCTTCAGTCATTGTATTGGTAATCCCTTATAAACTGCTAGGGAGTATGCCCATTGCTATCCACCAAGCCACTCTCCTGATACCAAAATTATCTGCAGGTTGGACAGCAGACTGAAAAATACTGGAAGTGTCCACTTGACACACAGTCTTTACGATGTTGTTGGAAGAATGCACAATGAGCTTATGCAAGCACATGATGATGCAATATTTCAATGTATAGAACAAACTCCTGAGTTGAACACATACTTGCTAGCTAGAAAGCTAAATGCGAATAGCAATACTGTGCACAGGGTTTTGCAGTGAGATGAGCTATATCCATTTCTCTACACAACTATGCAAGGTCTACATTCAGATGACTTTCAGCTACATGTTGACTTTTATGAATGCAAATAACAACAACATGAAATTAATAATGCTTTCATTGTACATAGCGTATTCGGAAACTAAGTACCGTTTCATTCTAACGCCATTGCAGCGCTGTGGTAGGCGTCCCGTGCATGCACACTAGTCTTTCTTGTTCACTGACTTTCAATTGTCACCATTTTGGTTGCTCTATGTTGTGTTTTCAGTTTGCTGTGCACATTCAAAATGTTTAAGACAATTAGTTCTCCCGCTGACTGTGAGATTCGTGCCATGATTAAATTTTTGAACGCGAGGAATGTTAAACCGGCCGAAATTTATCGTCAAGTGACAGAAGTTTACGGTGAATAGGCGATAAGTGATGGAATGGTGAGAAAGTGGGTAAGAATGTTTAATGCAGGTCGAAGAAATGTCCACGCCGAGGCTCGGAGTGGTCGGCCTTCTGATGTCACCGATGATTTGGTAAGGAAAGTTGATGAAGCAATTCATGAGAATAGATGCTTCACAATGACAACTCTTTCAGAGGCATTTCCACAAATTTCACATACTGTTTTGTTCGAAATTGTGTCTGACCGCTTGAATTATCGCAAACTGTGTTCCCGATGGGTTCCAAAAATGCTCACTGATGTTCACAAAACAAAGCTACTTGGTAGTGCCCTGACATTTCTCACGCGGTACAGTGATGAGGAAAAAAACTTTTTAAACCAAATTGTGACAGGTGATAAAACTTGGGTGTGTCATTTCACACCAGAATCGAAACAACAATCGATGGAGTGGAGACACACTCATGCTCCGAAAAAACAAAAGTTCAAAGTGACAATGTCATCACAAAAAATCGTGCACTGTCTTCTGGGATAGGAAAGGCATTTTGTTTACTGAATTTCTTCCCAGAGGTGAAACCATTAACGCGGCATGATATTGTGATACGTTAACAAAACTAAGGTGTGCCATTCAAAACAAACGAAGAGGAATGCTCAGTAAAGGAATTGTGTTGCTCCATGACAATGCTTGGCCCCATACTGCTGGTGTCACTCAATCGTTATTTCGACAGTTTCATTGGGAGCAGTTCGATCACCCGCCGTACAGCCCGGACTTGGCGCTGTCCGACTATCACTTGTTTCTGCACATGAAGCGCGAGCTTGGTGGCAAGTGCTTTGGATCTGACGATGACACGAAAAATGCTGTGGAGTCGTGGTTATCGAAACTGGCAGGAAGTTTCTTTGACAATGGTATACAAAAACTGGTCACCCGCTATGACAAGTGTTTGATCATTGGCGGAAACTATGTTGAAAAATAGTTTAAGACATGTATTTTCATGTAAAAATAAAATTGGATTTGAAAAAATTGTTTTACTATTTTTTTTTTTTTCAAAACGGTACTTAGTTTCCAAATATGCCTCATACGTCTTGTGGACAGATAAAGCATGCTTCACATGTGATGGGAACTTCAACAGTCACAACAGCCATAAAAGGTCAACATCCAATGTTCATGCAGTTCACCTGCTATGATTTCTGGCCTGCTGGTCTGTAGATGTGTGGGCCAACACACTAGGCGATCACATGATTGGACCATATCTGCTGCCTGAATGACTCACGGGACATCCATACTTGGTATTTCTCTAGGACACATTAACTAATTCCCTTAGATTGCTCTTAGCAGCAATACATGGCCTGTGGCTCCAGCATGATGGAGCTCTGGTGCATTTCAGCACTCCTATATATGATTCGCTGGATTGAACATGAGTGTCCAGTTTTATGGCTGCCTCGATTGCCAGATCTGACACCTCTGAATTTCTTTCTATATGGCTATCTGAAGGAATTGGTCTATTGAGACCTAATTACTACAGAAAGTGATTTAATTGCTTGCTTTTATGCTGCATGTACTTAGGTTGCACCACACTGCTGCAACATGTGCACATTCCATGATGCATGCATGCCTCCATATGTGTGGTGGATATTTTGAATATCTTTCTGTGTAAACATAAGCAAATACCAATGTTCATATTTCCCTGGACATGATGTCATACTTTTATTAATCTCGAAAAGTGTGGGTTACACAGGTTCGTTGGATACTTTTTTATGTATTCCAAGCAAGAAATCTGGCTTTCCAAAATTCGACTAGTCTTGATGGGACACCCTGCATAAATGAGTGAATTTTTGATAAAAGAATCAGGCAGAAAAAGAAAAGTCTCAAATACATACCTAAGAATCACGTATAAAAGAAAGAAATAAAAATGTCTTACTTTCTGGTCTGCGCCCTTTTCTTAAAATAACATAAGAAATCCAGTCTTTTCGTGAAGGAGGCTCAGCCTTAAATAGAAAATATTTATTTACTGTGATTAAATTATATTTATATAAATCTTAGTGAAATGTATATTTAGAGTTTTCTAAAAAAATATGAAACAGATGTAAAAAAATAACTTACTCCAATTGGAAACAGAGGTTGGTATGGAACAGTAAAGCCACAAGGTTTGTACGAAGATTCAATAAGCCTCGGGCAAGTTGAATCATGAGGACACTGTATAAAATAAATTTCCAAATTTTTACTGATAATAAAATGTAAAATTTATTGAAACACATTCCTACTCAAAAGAAAAATTACATAGGTATTAGAAACATGTGGTGATAATTTTCTCTAGGGTTTTAAATGTTTATAATAAAATAAATTTAATAAATATAGCAAAAGAGAAAGTAAAAGATTGTCTTTTCAAAATCGGCAATGAAAATATAAATTCTAAAGGTGTAATAGTCAACTGTGTTTTATTATTATTATTATATAGTTTTAATTATCATCTGTTTTGTGGCTCAAATTGTTATAAATTTTATATTGATATAATTGATTAGTTCTTAGTTTTCCTTGCTTGCAGTAGCACTGTGTTTCTCCTTATTTGTAACATTTTGTCCTCCCTCCAGCCATAGAAGAATGGTTCTTTATGTTTTGAACAAGCAGAATGATGCTTTAAAAACTAAGTTTATTCATACAGAAAATTGAATATAAAAGCTACAAAACAAGGATTCACATCAGCCATTTCAGATGCTGCTGAAGCACTTATACCGATAATAGAATACAGTCAAAATTCGTTAATCCGGACTCGTCGGGACTTCGGCGATTCCGGATTATCGATTTTTCCGGATTATAGATCATCAGTTTAAATCTGGTAAGATGGCATGCAGAAATTATAAAATTAAAAATATGAAACCGTAATTTATGAAATAAAGAACAATTATGATCTAAAGGGTATCAAAAATTACAAAAAAAAAAAAAAAAAAAAAAAAAAAAAGCTTAATATTTATTTGTTTACTTTACTTTCTTCGCTATTGGAAACGAATTATAATGACGAGGAATTTGATTTAAATCATATCAAAGACGGAGTACATCGAGATGAAATAATTACATTTAGTAAGGAATTATAAGCCAAATAAGGAACAGCTTTACTATAGCCCACCTTCAAAGTTTGGCGAATTTGGTTTGGCGCCAAAGCACATGAAATATGTTGTTTTGAAAAATGGTTGCCATCCAGATTTTCGACGAAACTCCGTGTTTCAAAAAATGGTGGCCATCTTGATTTCACCAGAAATCGTGGATAATAGAAATAAGTTTATGAATATTATACACGATTTTAAGAGAAAGAAATATTAAGAAATGATTAATAAAAATGATTAAGATTAAAAGGATGTAATTTTAAAAACAATACCGGAAACCTTTAGCTATTTCACCTTTAATAAATAATTTGGTGTGACGTCACAATGTATTCTCCATGCTACGCGTAATTTGTATTTTCTCTTTAAAAAAAATAATGAATTGTTTATTATTGTAAATTAACATCAAATTCTTTAAATTTTACATTTCTGAGCTTAGGCGTAACTGAAAATAAGTATAATAAATTGTTTATATTTAAAATTATCATGATACAGTAAGCGAATTCTACCAGTTCAACGATAAAGAACGTCGCAGTCTCTCATACTTGTATTTCATACAGCTTCCATATTTTCAAAGATTTTTAAGCTTTAGCATTTATACAAATAAAAAAGTTTTTTTTTTAAATTAATACTCTGGAACATATCAATTTTATCATATTTACAAATTAACGTTTTGCTACGTAACAACATAATCCCTTATATACCAGTAAGTTAGACAATTTTCATTATTTTCTAAAAATTTTAAACTTCACATTAATGAAAAACAGGTTCTTAAATTTCTAAATCACATTATATTCTCTGTAGGCAGGCATACTAGAATTCTACACATAAATAAATAAAAAATTTATTTTTCTCGCAATGAAAGAAAATATTATAAGAAAATAAATACTACAAATTAGGAACACTAAGCAATACTTCACATACACACACACATACAGTGTCTCACAAAAGTGATGGGACACTTGTGCTTTACAAAAGGAAACTGTAGTAAAATAAATTAAAAAAACATGTAAAAAATTTTTGTGGGTGTGTTTCATACTTAAATTTAGTAACAATTACTACATAACATACATTTTCTCAAAATATTAAAATATCAGTTTAATAAAAATACAATTGTTTAGAACGGAGCAAAAATGGCTCACATAAGTGATGGGACACTTACTTTTCCATCAAATATTTATCCAAAAATTTTACTTTATAAAGGTTTTTAATATTTTTTTGGATTCCTTTTACTTTTAAAACATGATTTAATTTTCTTGGGATGGATTCGACTAATTTTTTTGCGATTTCTGGAGTGATTTTACCCCATTCTTCTTGAAGCACCGATTTTAATTGTTGTTTTTGAAGAAATGGTGTGTTTGCGAAATTCTTTCCTGGGTTTTTCTCCACGCAAGATTTACCGTCAGAATCAAATATATTAAATTTACTCTCATCAGCAAATATAACTTCATTCCAGTAATCAGAATTCTTATTTATGTTGGATTTTGCGAAAGCCAGTCTGAGGTTTCTATTCTTTTCACTCACGAAGAACTTTTTCCTAGCTGCTCTACCGTGATATCCAGCAAATCGAATTACTCTTCCAATAGTCTCAGGATTAATTACTCCATATAATGCTTATAAATCAGCAGCAACTTTGGGAGCACTCATTCTTGGATTTTTTTTTTAATATTTCGAACGATAATTCGCTTTAGTCCATTGGATAGCTTTGATGGTCGGCCACGTCTTCTTTATCCTGAATCATATGATTCTTTTTATATCGTTTAATGATATTCAAAACTGTTGAATGACTCAGGTTAACGGTTTCAGCAGTTTTTCTAATAGAATTTCCACGTTAAATATGCAAATTAATAACTAATTTTCGAATTTCAGGCAAAGTTTCTTTTCGTTTAGCATTCATGGCTGCACAGAGATAAAAAACACAAAAATTCCAAAACAAACTGGAGAGAAATACTGCAGACGATTGCGATAAATTATTGCCAATTGCTTTTGAGTAAAATAAAAACCCCAAAAAATATTTTATTGCTTCTTACTTCAGACGATTTTTGTTGCATAATACGTAGTAGTATCTAATGGTGTCCCATCACTTATGTGAACCATTTTTTGCTCCTTTCTAAACAATTTTATTTTTATTAAATTAATATTTTGAGAAAATGTATGTGATGTAACAATTGTTACTAAATTTAATTATGAAACACACCCACAAAAAATTTTTACATGCTTTTTAATTTATTTTATTGCAATTTCCTTTTGTAAAGCACAAGTGTCCCATCACTTTTGTGAGACACTGTATTATCAAAGAACTCATATTATCAAGTGCGATTACGATTGCAAACACTACGTATTATAATAATGAGGTAAAAGTTACTTATAGGGTCAAAGTTTACAGTTTTGCTACTGTTGAGTAGATCGTCGGGCTATCGATATATATCGTAAGTCGGAAAGCATTATAAACATATCAAAACCCAAAAATTAAAAATACAATTTAAATGAAAAATGATGTCTTAAATATAATTCACATTAAAAACACAATACAAATTTAAAATACACAAACGATATGTTAAACATTGCATATAAAATACATTCCATTACCAGCTCGGCATCACACATTATCTCGATTTTCCCTTTGTACACAACGATCCGTATTCGCTAGCCAAAAAACATCAAAGAATTCGCACAAATTTGACGTCCATGTACACATCCATCTATTTTCCCCATTTAAAAAATATCCAGAGAATTGCACAACCTCGGCATTGCGCACTACATTGGCTCTGCCCATGTACACATCGATCTATTTTCACTTAAAAAAACATCCAAGAATTGCACAAACTAGGCTACCGCGCACAACCTCGGCATTGCACACTACATTGGCTTTGCCCATGTACACATCGATCTATTTTCACTTAAAAAATCATCCTATAATTGCACAAACTAAGCACCGCGCACAACCTCGGCAGAGCACACTACATTGGCTTTGCCCATGTACACATCGATCTATTTTCACTTAAAAAAAAATTCTAGAATTGCGCAAACTAGGCACCGCGCACAACCTCGGCATTGCGCACTACTTTGGCTGTGCCCATGTACACATCGATCTATTTTCACTTAAAAAAAATCCTAGACTTGCACAAACTAGGCACCGCACACTACATTGGCTTTCCTATGTACACATCGATCTATTTTCACTTAAAAAAACATCCTAGAATTGCGCAAACTAGGCACCGCACACAACCTCGGCATAGCGCACTACATTGGCTTTGCCCATGTACACATCGATCTATTTTCACTTAAAAAAACATCCTAGAATTGCGCAAACTAAGCACCGCGCACAACCTCGGCATTGCGCACTACATTGACTTTGCCCATGTACACATCAATCTATTTTCACTTTAAAAAACATCCTAGAATTGCGCAAACTAGGCACCGCACACAACCTCGGCATTGCGCACTACATTGGCCTGTGCCCATGTACACATCGATCTATTTTCACTTAAAAAAACATCCTATAATTGCACAAACTAGGCACCGCGCACAACCTCGGCATTGCGCACTACATTGGCTTTCTCATGTACACATCGATCTATTTTCACTTAAAAAAACATCCTAGAATTGCGCAAACTAGGCACCGCGCACAACCTCGGCATAGCGCACTACATTGGCTTTGCCCATGTACACATCGATCTATTTTCACTTAAAAAACATCCTAGTATTGCGCAAACTAGGCACTGCGCACTACACTGGCTTTGCCCATGTACACATCGATCTATTTTCACTTAAAAAAACATCCTATAATTGCACAAACTAGGCGCCGCGTACAACCTCGGCATTGCGCACTACATTGGCTGTATAGAAATTTGTGGTTCGTGAAGTTATGCAATTAGAAACATGAAACATTTTTAAGATGATATTTGGAATACTAGATGGAATGAATCAGAGAGGTGCGTGGGTCTTTTGAAGTCTATTAAAATTCAAAATGGTATGCGACCAATTAGTAATATTGATTTAAACCAGTTTTTAACTGGGCATGGAAGATTTCCCGCGTACCTCTCGAGATTTAATTTACAAAATTCAGACTTACTGGTCATTGCCATCAAGTTGGTA